TCTTGAGCTTTCCTGGTATAAGAACGAGCCTTCTCTGGAGATACCTACCCACCCGCACAGCTCGGTTCTCAGACAGAGCCCTTAGCAGACCCCGCCCAAGACCCCCCGAGCCACGCCTGCTCTGGGTCTCCCTGCAGGGAGCCGGATGGAAAAGCTCACTCATGCCTCAGCCCAGAGCACAGCTTTCTCTGAGCACAAAGCTGGACAGACCTGTGCTTAAGTGACAACCACACTGTCATGCCGCTCATTCCACTGTAGGGTTTTACATGTTTTCTTCCAATGGAGCAGGCTCTTCCTCACTCAAACAGTCTCTTCCTAGCTCGCTGGGTTCTGCAGAGAGTGACTAACTGCCCTGCTCTGTCTCAGACCTGGGGGGTTCCAAGGCTTCGGCTTGAAATGGGTTGGTCCCCCTGGTTCTCTACAGTGTTCCAGAAGACATCAATGACTGCCCATGGTTGTACTAAGTTACAAGAACAAGAAATAAGCCAAGAAATCCACCTATGAGACAAGTATTTTTTCCCACCCGCAATGCAAAGATTTTCTGTTTGTTTGTTTTTGTTAATCCTCACCTGAGGATATTTTTAGAGAGAGTGGAAGGAAAGAAGGGCAGGGGGAGAGAGAGAGAGAAACATCGATGTGAGAGAGACACATCGATTGGTTGCACAAGCCCCGACTGAACTTACAACCCAGGTGTGTGCCCTTGACCAGGAATCGAGCCCGTGGCCTTTAGGCGTGTGGGCAATGCTCTAACTATGGAGCCAAACTGGCCAGGGCTGTGATCCAAAGCTTTTTGACACAACAGGTGCGTAAACGCTGTCATAGCATCTTTCACTGAGAGCAAACGAGTTTGTTCTGGTTTGTGAATCCCATTTTATGAAGTCAGGGAATGGGGTAGCCATCCCTTTCCGAAGTCCTGAGACACTGTTCAGGAGTCTTCACTCTGAATATTTAGTAATTGGTTCATTAACTAGCCACCTTCTGGATCCCTTGAAATTAAAAAGTTAGCATAGTTGCCCTGGCCGGTTTGGCTCGGCGGTTAGAGAGTCGGCCTGCGGTCCAGAGAGACACGGGTTCGGTTCCCGCTAAGGGCGCGTGCCTCGGTTGCAGTTTGTCCCCAGCCCTGTTTGGGGTCGTGCGGGAGGCAGCCACTCGATGTGTCCCTTTCACGTCGATGTTTCTCTCTCTCTCTCTCTCTCTCTCTCCCTCTGACTCTATCTGAACAAAATATGGAAAAATGTCCTTGGGTGAGGATTAAAAAAATAATAAATAAAAAAGTTAGCATAGTTGAGCATAATCGAGAGATGGAAAAATGGCCCAAGCCAACAGTATTTTTCCAGAAAATGTAACTCCTGTGTTAAAGCAGATTAATATTTAAGAAGAGAGAGACAGAAAGAAAAAGAGGAAGAAAAAAATCCTCAACAGCAATTGAAATCAAGCATCTATGGAGGATTATCGTAAGTGAAATAAGCCAGCGAGAAAACGACAAATAAATACCATGTGATCTCACTTATATGTGTAATCTAAAGTACAAAATAAACTGACAATCAAAACGGGGCCAGAAGCCTGGGTGCAGAGGACAGACTGATGAGTCCCAGGGTGGGAGTAGGGGTGGGAAGAGATTGACAAGAACTTGCGTACAGATACGCACAGCCCGTGGACACCGACAATAGTGTGGTGAAGGCCTGGGGTGGGGCAGGGGCTGGGACGAGGGGGGGAGAGTGGAAAAATTGGGGGACATCTATAATACTGCCAACAATAAAATAATAATAAAAATATAAACAAATAAAAGAGTAGCAAATACTGCCTCATTACTGTGTGGTGCCTGGGTGCCAGCTTTGGGGCTGCCGTCAGAGTCCCTGTCTACAGGCAAACGCACTATAAATGTGCCTTGCACCGGACATATTTCTGGAAGTGCAGCATGTAAATTTAAATTTATGAAATGTATTATTTCCACACACGCACGCACACGCACACACAAAGAAGCTACAAGCCTGGGACAGACCCCCAGAGTCTCCTGGAGCAGGGCTTCAAATACTCTATGGTGAGGGGGGCTGCACTCGGGGCGAGTCACAGTGGTGCTTTGAAGTCATCATTTACCCGTTAGGATAATATACCCCAAAATACTCTGCATCTATAAGATGTATAAATCTCCACAGTCCATGAGAAACACAGTTTTCTGTCCAAAAGTATATTCCTCGTGACTGGCTCACCAAACACTGCACACGGCCTGCCCGCCCCGCCGGGGCCGCACACGGCCTCGTGGAGCAGGGTGCCTGCCTGCTCGTCCAAGGAGCACCGAGGGCCCGAGGCTCCGCGAGGTTCTTAAGTTTGTGTGTCTTTATTTATTTATTTATTTTGTAATCCTCATCCCGAGGACATTTTTTCAATATTTTGTTCAGATAGAGTGGGAGGGAGGGAGAGAGAGAGAAACATCGATGTGAAAGGACACATCGAGTGGCTGCCACCCGCACGACCCAACCAGGGCCGGGGACAAACTGCAACCGAGGTACATGCCCTTAGCGGGAACCGAACCCGGGTCTCTCTGGACCGCAGGCGGACACTCTAACCACTGAGCCAAACTGGCCAGGGCAAGTTTGTATGTATTTATAGAAAAGTGAAATGTGTGGGAAGAGTAAGTCAAACTCTTCCTTTGAAGACTTTGAGGGATGAGCATTTGCCCTTTTATACTGTTCACGTTTTCTGTAGTTATTATGAATTATTTGATCATTAAGAACGAAACAACCAGGACATCCCAGCACTCCATTGCTTGCTAAACTGGAAAAATGCTGTGATCTCTCTAATGTAAGGAATACATACAGTGTGTTGGATGAACTGCAAAGCAGAGATCAGAATAAGAGTGGTATATATTTGAGAACTTTTGCTGAGGCTGAAAGTAATAGCAATTATTTTGTAGTATGACGAAAATATCAGATGTTTAAATATCTGTACTTTCCCCAAAACAAGCAAGGTTACTTAAGCAAGTAGAGATCTCAATGATTCTATAAAAAGATGTATTAGAAAAAAGTCCAGTAATGTGAAGGCCTTGTCAAACCGTTATTGGCATGAGGAACCATATAATATACCGAATAAGCAGAAACAGCCCACTGACTCTGCGGTTCTGCCGTCCGCGAAGTCCTGTCGTTGTGGTTCCTAGCAGAGGTCACCAGTTCGGAAGCACTGGCCCCTTCTCTTTAGTGTTGTCATGGCTAACTCACTGGCAGTCAAACAAAACAAACAGGATAAGAGGGCAATGTCACCGAATTTCCAAAATATATCTTTAGTACTTGGATGGTTGACCTGTCATTTTTTTTTCTTCTTTAAGAAAAAAAGTGTAGGCAATAATTTCTACTGAGTAAGATAAGAAGAGAAACACATACGCATCTTAATTACTCAATCCTGGGTTGTAGGAGAAAATGAGGGACTCGTGGGTCTGGCTCTGAAGGCAAGGCAATCAAAGGCAAAAACAGACAACTGAGACTAATCTAACTGCAAAGTTTCTGCACCTTGAGGGAAACCACCACCAAACCAAAAAGGCAACTTACTAAATGGAAGATCTTTGCAAATCATACATCTGGCAAGGGGTTAATAGCCAAAATATATGAAGAACTCATACAACTCAACAACATAAAAACAAGCCACTGGATTTAAAAATGGGCAGAGAATCCGAACAGACATTTTCCCAAGCGAGACATACAGATGACCAGCAGGCAAACGGAAAGACGCACACCATTAATTATTAGGGAAATACAAAATTAAACCACAATGAGGTCTGTTAGGTTGGCTACTGCCAAGAAGAAAACAAAGATGCTGTGAGGGTGTGGAGAAAAGGGGAGCCTTGATGCTGGCGGGGACACAAGTGGGCGCGGCCACTGGGGAAACAGTATGGAGGTTCCTCAAGCAGGTAAGACTATAGCTACCTTATGACCCAGCAATTCCACTTCTGGGTATTTACATGAAGAAAACTAAAACATTAATTTGAAAAGATCCCTGCTCCCTGTATTCACTGCAGCATTATTTACAACAGCAGAGAAATGGAAACAACTTAAGTGTCCATCAGTGATGAATTGATAAAGAAGATGTGGTACACACACACACACACACACACACACACACACACACACACGGGAATATTATCTAGTCATAAAAAAGATGTTGCTATTCATGACAACATGGATGGACTTTCAGGGTATTGTGCTAAGTGAAATAAGTCAGATGGAGAATGACAAATACCGTACCGTTTCATTCACATGTGAAATCTAAAAGCAAAACAAACAACCTAACAAAAACAAACTCATAGATAAGGAGAACAGATTAGTGGTTACCAGAGAGGACAGGCTGGGGGTTGAGAAATGGGCGAAGAGCTCCCATTGCTGAAAGAAGGCAGGTAGACTTTCGAGGACGATCACTCACTTTGTAGTGCATACAGCTATCGAATTGCATCTAAAATTTATATAATGTTATGTAGCAATTTTACATGGATTACAAAAATGTACTGCTCAAGGGTAGCCCGAATGCTTTTTGGCTCAAGAAAATAGCAACAGAGTCTACCAACCAGCTTCCGGGGGCACCCAAAGAGAGAAGGCAAACAGGGCAGAGAAGGCAGGGCGTGGAGCCAAGCGTGGGGTGAGAGCCAGGCCTGCTGGGGAGACGAGTGACCCCCGCCCCCAGGCGCACTGGCCAGCCTCAGGCACAAGCGTCCCCAGCAGGAGCTCCTACGTGTCAGTTCTTCCTTTCCTCAACAGAGTAGCTTCAAACTTAGCTCTTATTTCCCTGAGGAACCACACAACACTTAAGTGCTTTTTTTCTCAGTCTTCAAGCAAGAAATTATCTGATATAAAATAACAGATATGTCTAAGTAAATGTAAACACACCCTGTGGTTCATTTTCACAGTTATCATCAGTGGTGGCAATCTACAGGGGGCTGGAGACCACCATCCTTCCTTAGAGAAAGCTCGTCTCAGCCAGACGAGCTGGTTTTCTATTCAGATTCTTGCTGAAAATCTCCTCGTTAAAAAAAAAAAAAAAAAAAAAGAGAGGGTTCAACTAGCCATTCTTGTCAAAGTCAATTATTTACAATGAAGCAAATGAACTGACGGCTTTCACTCTTGAATGGAGGAGTGGCGGATAGATCTGTGATAGTCCTCGGGACTGCTCATGTGTTCAGGTAAATCATAGCCCCTGAGGAAATGTCCGCTGTTTTGTTGAGCAAAATAATACAGCTGTCTGGCCAGTAGAGGTTCAACCTGTAATAAGAGATTTGAAGAAGACATTACTAAGATACTGTTTTTAACATCCTGCAATTGGCTCATCTTTAAATAACTCACTATGTGTAATGGTGTAGTGAAGTTAAGTACAAAGTTAGGTGCTGTAACACATCAAAATGATATGCTTGGAGCCTTCTGAAGAACTAATTTTTGTTCATCTTTCCATACACCCACTTCTAAATGGAATCTACTTAATTCTGCATTTCAATTGAAGTTAAAGTTAAAGATAATACTTCTAAAGCATCTGTGGCTAGAAATTTACATCGAACTGAGACTGAAACAAATCAGGTAGCATGACTAAATTGAAAGGAAATTTGAGGTCATATTTAGTGTAATTTAGGCCAATAAGTTTGTGTTTCCACGACTGCCGCTTGGCAGGCCTGAGGGGCTCATGTGCGCTCCCAGGCCCACCTGGTCCAACGGTACTTCTCGACCACAGAGAAAAGAGAGAGAAGCAAAATCAACAACAAAAGTGCTATTGTGGGAAGATAACTTTTACTTGATTCCGAATTCATCTAGTTTTGATATTAGTATGGATTGCATTCAATAAAAAAATTCAGTTTTCAGATTTTCCTAAATTTACATCCAAGAAAACTAATCGCTTTTAGTTAATTGTGCTTCTAAGTTGAGCCTTTATGTTATTTGATATATAGGAATTTAAGCATAACTGATATAAAGTACCCGAAATAAATTCACCCCATATTAAAAGGAACTCCTGGGTACACACACACTGGTTTTCCTTTTCGGCACCATACGGCGTGACTTCGGGGGTCCTCGCCTGGGGAACCCATCTTTGCCTAATTTATAGGACAGCTAGTACATCCAAAAACCCTTAAAATCTGATTGATGTGGGAATTTGCACCAACTTCCTTAAAAAAATTATTTTATTTCTTTATTGATTTTTAGAGAGAGGGGAAGGGAGAGAGAGATAGAAACATTGATGAGAGAGAACAGTGACTGGCCACCTCCTGCCTGCCCCCGCTGGGGGTTTGGCCCACAACCTGGGCATGTGGGATTACATTTTTGTTTATTGGTTGGTTGGTTTTTCAATTTACAGTCAAGAGGGGGACTGCATGTTTAAGATTAGATAGCACTTTATTTCAGTTTTCAATAAGAAATAATACCAGAACCAAAATATGACCTGAATTTTTATATTATTGGGTATAATTTTTCACATTTGCTGCTCATTTTCTGGGCCCATTAATAATTCTTGAAGGTACGTAGCAATGCAAAGGTTTCACATTCAAAGTCCTAGGTCCTCAAAACTCTTTTCTGTGGCAAATTAATGCTACATGTTATCTATATAAACCTTTTTCTCTTTCTGTTTTATGGAAATAGAGGTTTACTTGCCATAGTTGAACCCATCTTAAATTCTGCTACAGGACATTCCAGTGGTCTGATCTATTTGCATTTCTTGAAAGATTTAGCCTCTTCCAGGTAACACATAGTTCTTGGTTTCCAATAATTATAATTTTTTTTTTTTTTATCCTCACCCGAGGACATTTTTCCATTTTTTTGTACAGATAGAGTGGGAGGGAGAGAGAGGAAGAGAGAGAGAGGGAAACATCGATGTGGAAGGGACACATCGAGTGGCTGCCACCCGCACGACCAACCAGGGCCGGGGACAAACTGCAACCGAGGTACATGCCCTTAGCGGGAACCGAACCCGGGTCTCTCCGGACCGCAGGCGGACGCTCTAACTGCTGAGCCAAACCGGCCAGGGCAATAATTATAATTTTTTTAATCCAGAAATTAAAGAGGGGTTGGGAAACATTTGAAGGACCCACAAAACACACATTTGAGAAAAAGTTCTCCATCAAGTGAAAACCAGACAGCATTTTAAAGGCAATATTAAATGTGGAGAATTTTAATGGGCAACTTTTACCATCACTCCTTCTAAATACTTATAAAATGGGAATACGCAATCTCCTTGAAAAATAAAAAAGATGGGACAGATGGAGCCATGTGGAGGTTCCCTCCCCTTCTGATGAGGAGATTTCTAGGGCTGCTGTTAGGATGAAGGCCTCGGGTGCCCTCCCTCACCATTCACTGGATTAAGGTCCCCTCACTATTTCCCAGGTCACTTTCATTTACTCTTCATTGGAGCTTTCTCTGAACACAACCCTGTCCTTGACGAAAAGCAGGGAAACAGTCATTTCTGACTAAATACTCACGTGAGCAGTTATCAGTTTCCTTTGCCTCTGGGGGTCTGGAAACTCCTCCCCGAAGCACAGAGTTACCTGGAACCGTGGCAGGGGGCGGCCGTGGAGAGCGAACGCCTGCAGCTCTGGAGAAACCAGGAGGAGGAAAACAAACAACGCTCAGAAACCCTCCTCGTGGAGCACACCAGCTTCCACCAAGAGGCCAGTCTAAGTTGATTCTGAAGACTGAAATAGGAACGAACACTCTGTATTTCTCTCAGGGGGGCTCTCAACCTTCACACCCCAGATGCAAACGTGCATGTGGAGTTCACGTGTGTACTTCTCCTGCGAGGGCGCAGGTCTCCCTGACTCCCCAAGGGGATATGCCCGCAGGTTAAAGACCTTGCTTTGCAGTCCTGCACCCACAAGTATGCAAAAGGTAGCAGAAAGGAGTGAAGGGGAAGGAAAGGAACAGAAATATAGCCACGTTGAGGCAAGAGAATAAATTATGCAAAGAAGAAATTTTCTTTTGAAAAAATTAGACTTTTCTGACTTGTTCCAGGATGACTTAAAACCTCATCTCCAAACTGCTGAGCCCTCATAACCCAGCCTCTGCTCCCGGACCTCTGTGTGACTCAGGCACCGCAGAAGAGGTCTGCTGCTGTCTTGGAGATTGAGCCCCAGTTATGGGCAGCTGTGACCCACTTGGCACTCGGCCCAAACTGTGTGACTGGGTGGACTTTCCACCTGTCTTCTGAGATAATAATTTGAGACAGAAAGGGGAGTGATGAAACACTTGGGACCCCACTTTTGTGGAAGCCACGACTCCTATCCTAAGGATGCAAAATGGAGAACGGAACACTGTTGGAAAGGTGTCCAGTCGCTGATCATGAGCCCTGCCCGTCACCCACATTCAAGGTAACGCTCTGCTTCTAGCTCTCCTCTTCTTTCCACTAGACACAAATGTCATGTCTGCAAAAGAAAGGCGACTTCTGGAGAACAGCACCCATTGCACCCTTATCAGATCTGCGCCCCGGCTTCGCCTTGGGGCTGTCCCCAGCAGCCTGCAAATCCTGAATGGTAGATATCAAAGATTTCCACTGTTCTCTTCAACTGAAGAGACGTTTCTAGCTAACTCACTGGACCATCTGACTTCCTGCCTTTTTTTTTTCTTCCAGAATTCAAATCAAACCTAACCGACTTAGTCAGAACCTATAAAAGGTATTCACACTACAGAGGTCTGAGACTACACCTCCTCGAGCTCATCAGAATGGTGATACAATTCTCTGAAAAGGTCCTGCCTCCAATGCCAGGGGATGCCCTGTGATTATACAGAAACTGATCTACAGGGCTCCGTTTGCAACTTGACAGGTCCCTCCCTGCACCTCAGCGAACACTTCAAAATAAGAGTTTGCTGTGGACAAAAAACTCTTGGTTACAGAAGAAGGGGAAAGAAAACAAAACAACTCTTGCTTACAGATGAATCTTAAATTCTAGGCAAGGAACTTGCAGCCCGAGGACGCTGCAGCTGGGACATCATGCCTGCCTGCCTCCTGCCTGTCTCCGTTCACTGGCTCAAAGAGGAGCTTATGGCCTGGTTAGAATGAGAGGGGTCCACCTTCTTAAAAGACGCCTGGCGAGAGACACTCGGCGGTGCCTTCATGACAGCCCTATGGACGTGACAGTCCTGTGGTAGCTTCGGGATCCCAAGAGACCAAGACCCACAATCTTTGAGGAGATCCCAACTCAGTGGGCTCTTCCAGAATCCACTGCAGACGAGGTGGCCCTCAGTGGTCAGGACCCCGTCGTGACGCCCACACTGGGCCCCAGGACAGAGACAACAGTCACGCCACAGGCTGGGAGGCAGCTCTGCGGCTCAGCTGGGGAGGGGTGTTCTCACAGGGGCTGCCCTGGGAACTAGACAGGGCTCCCTCTTCCTCTTCCTCTTGCTCACTGCTGTGGCAGGGTTAGTCATCTCAGGAGATATTTCTTTCGGGCACCAAAAGAGAATTTGAATCAGCCTATTCGAATTTGGGCAACTTACACCTAAGAGGCGGAGCAAATGTCAATGGTGTGAGAGCACAGATCTTCATCTTTTTATTTCAAATGAATTAAACTGAGAGGCACGTTCAGGAGAAAGACTGGCACGAGGAAACCCAAAGACACAGCGTGTTTCGAAGGGGGCACTTCTGAATGAATAGGTTCAGACAAGGTAGAGAAAGACTTGGCAGTTAGCTGGCGCTCAGGACAGCGTTCTTCCTCCGAGAGAGGCAGTGTCCACATAGATGGCGACATGGACACTTGGGATAAAGCTTCGAATTAACGTGGCCAGTAGTTTCACAAAAGCCAGCCCAGGCCTAATTTAACTGTCAGGAAATCAAAACTAGGAAAACAAAAGTTACTGGTTCTGGAAAATCTGATTTGAAACATGCATGTCATGGAGATAGCTCAAAGCCTTCTCATAATTTCCCTTTGCAAAATCAGTTCAACACACTCTGTCCTTGGTCCCACCTGCCAGAGGACATCTGCATAGGGTGACGCATCTCATAACCAAGACTGTTAACAATATACTTCCCACAGGTACAACTTTTCTAAGAACTTCAAAGGAGCTGAAACACCAGCAGATATGCCTGCTGAGATCATGCTGCCAGTCAGAGGTGGACCTGAGCACTGGGTGGCTGTCGGCTGGGTACCAGAGCTTCCGGTCGTCAGCCTGGACCACAGCCCCCTGAGCCATCTCCCCCTCTTCACAGCCTTTTGCTGATGGACAGGAGCAGGTGGTAAAAGGTGAAACCTTTTCTGAGATCACGCCCGGTGGGCTCAGAGGTGAGCAGAGGGGACCTCTGTCCAGCGAGCGACCTGCACTTTGACCTCTGGCAGACACCCCCGCACCACCTTCCTGGCTCTGTGAGGCGCTTCTTTCTAACTATGATCGGCGCATTACCTGATAAAAACTGCTGCGTGTCAAATAGCTTGCAGGTCTGGTCTCTCTCCAGTTTGTTGGGCCGGTCGCTGCACAGGGCCAAGGGCCCATCCCAGTAGACCCTGCTCTGGCACAGTCTCTTGGCATAGAGCCCATCGGGGGCCATCCAGAGGACCACGCCCCTCTCCAGGTGGCTCAGCAGTTTCTCGATGTTTTTCCTCTGACCGTTGTCCTCTGGGTAGGGGAAGAGAACCTGGTCCAGGTTGCTGGCATCATAGGTGTGCCCGTGGGAGATCCGACAGCCTTCAGGGCTGGCCGTGGTCAACTCTTTCACCAGGATTTCCCGGTAATACAAGCAGATGTGGAGCCGGCAGTCTGCAAACACAGAACACTGGGTCAGTGCTGAGGGACCACGGAGCACGCATACCCCCGGGGCCAAACTACGCGGGAGCGTGAGGTCTGGTGGGACTGCTGTCCCAAGCTGCTCTGAAGAAAGTAAAAGTGTCAAGGTGGAGGGAGTCTGGGTGCTAGTGCCCCTCTCTCCGCCTGGAGACTCCAACAGCGAGATGTTAGAGAAGCCCATGAGAGGTCCACTTGGTGTTCTCTAACTCGGCATTTCCAAATGTACGTGGCCGTGGATTTTGGGGGGGAGGTGAGGGGAGCATGCCTTTCATTAGTTTTCTGCAAAATAGGTTTGATTTGTATTAGAAAGCACCACTGTTAAGACCTTTTTATGTCATTTTGTTTATGATAATGATAGTGGTGATGTCTAAAATACTAAGTCATGTATCACCGAACAAGACTTCATCTTTAGGCATGACAATCAGTTTTGATTTTGGCAAAAGTAAACCCTAAGTCTAATTTCTACTAACAAAAAAAAGTATGATGATGTTTCAGGGGGAAAAAAGCAAATGTGTTCACACATCTGAAACTACCCTACTATATCAGTATGATGTCATTAGGAGATATATATATATATATATATATATATATATATATATATATATAATGAAGTTTCAAGAAGGCTAAGCACTAAATTAACAGTGGTGATTTCTGGATGGTGGAAATATGATGTTTATTTTTCATTTTTGCTTTTCTGATTCTTAAATTCATTTTTACACTGTGTATGTACTACTTGTGTAATAAAATTAATTCATGTGGGAAGAAAGGAATCGATGAGCAAAATGTTCTGAGAGCCAAGTCTGCTGAAACCCTCCTAGGCTATGTGCTTACGTTTGAAAATGGCTCTATAATGATGCTTTGTAAAAGATGAAACAAGATGAACTCATTGTGATAGTTTGCTGATTCCAGAACCTTCGTTAACTTATGAGCCACAGACTGCAAGGACCAAGTTAGGTTTGCCAAGGGCCCCTTAACTGAAATGCACAGGGGCCTCCTGGACAGGCAGCAGCCCCCCGTGGGCAACAGCACGCGATTTACGAAGGAATGGGAATTGCAGTTGTCTGGTAAATGCACAGACATGCCAGCAACAGAAACCCACAAAACCCTCCTATTCTTCACTGGCAGGTTTTGAGACTTAACCCACATACTGTCTCAATTCTCCACTTCAATTCCTGCTGTTGTAAACATTGGCGGAGGGCAGCGGGGCGGAGGGGGCCCCCCTGAGGAGGGTGGGCGTAGGCCATTCGAGGTGACTTGCAGGGCAGGTTTCCTTTTATTTAATGTCATCAGAGACCGTAAGGTCACAGTGATGTAAACAGCTGTTTATTTCCTACTCTCAGGCACCCACACAAGTTGTCGGTGTTTCAGACAGGGCTTGAAAGCTTACAAAACCAACACAAGCCCTGCTGCTTGGAACACGCCCTCCCTCTCCCGTGAGGGCGCCTGAGGAGGCAGCAGCCTCACTCAGCTGTGGACCAAAAACAACGAAACCCTCAGACCTGCAGCCCCTCCAGGGAGAAAGGTGCCCATGACTCTCGTCTTCCTGAAGGGCTGAGAATTTAACTTGTGTTTTCTGTCACTGATTTTAAAGACGTGGAGGAAGGGGGGCAGGGAGGAGTGGCAAGAGAATTTGGAAGCTTAAGCTTTTCTTTTTTTTTTTTTGGTGCGTGCCCCTAGCGGGAACCGAACGCGGGACTCTCTGGTCTGCAGGCCGATGCTCCAACTGCTGAGCCAAACTGGCCAAGGCGCTTTTATTTTTAATATAAACATAAATCCCATATTTAAACAATGCAATGCATTATCTAAAAAATAAATATGTACACACACTAACTCAGTGGTTAGTACACCTTAAGGTCCCTTCTTTGAAACTGGTAAACTAGCCCGGCCGGTGTGGCTCGGTGGTCGGGCATCCACCCATGTACCAAGAGGTCCCCGGTTTGATTTCCGGTCAGGGCACATGCTAGGGTTGTGGGCCAAAGCCCCAGTGGGGGGCGTGCAGGAGGCAGCCAGTCCGTGTTCTCTGTCATCGATGTTTCTATCTCTCTCTCCCTCTCCCTTTCTCTCTCTCTCAACTCAATAAAGAAAAAAATAATAAAAAAAATAGGTAAACTCTCGAAGGTGCCAGGATTCTTTCAGAAGTAAAATTTTAAAAAATCAGATCTAATCCATATTTTTTGCTAGACATATCTCAGTTCAAGGAAGACCACAACACTCGTACAAAGTGATGGAACTAAGGCCCCAGGAAGCTGATGAGGAAGGGCCTGTTTGGCTAAACCTGGAAGGGTGATCAGCTTTTCAAAATGAGAAGCCCTCTGGTGCTTTTTTCTAAGAAGTTAGACTAAATTGTGAGGCTGTTAGCTGAAGAGGGCCAAAGGTTAATGAAACTGGAATATTTGCATATTCTTGGAAATTCAGATAGATGCCAATGGAGAACTTAGAATGACTCAACCAACACGTAGCATTGCATCAGAATCATGAGCTGGCTTCTCAGGGCTGATTTTCTAATGGTGTTCCTCATTCACACAGGGGCAGGGGCAGGTGTGCCCACACGTCCAGGCCCCGGCTGGAGGAAAGCTGGTGCCCGCAGGCTCCACCAGCCCCTCCATCAAATCTACCCCAACGCGAGGGTGAGCGCCACAGCCTCTCTGGCTCCTTGCGTGCCTCCAGCTGGTACCCACACTCACCTGAGAGAGCCAAGGCTTCGGCAGACCTTATGCTTGGCTCTATGGGGATTCCAGGGGCCTGGGACTCAGGCGGGGCACAAGCATAAAAGGTTCCTGTCACCTGGCAACCTGTATTTGCAAATAAAAGTCAAGAGTTTGTCCACAGGTAGGGAAGCCTCCTCTCCCGGATGGGTGGCCATTAGCCCCTGGTTGGGGGTGTGCACCAGTCCTGGGAGGGAAGGACTTTCGGTCCCCTCTCGAGCTGACCACTGGCTCTCCCAACAGGCAAAGACGAGCTGAAGTGCATGAGAAAAACCAAAGTCTAAGGCAGAAGAAGCCTTTCACAGCTTTGGAAGGAAGCTCAGAACTCTCCCTCTGTAACTTCCTTCCTTCCTTCCTTCCTTCCTTCCTTCCTTCCTTCCTCGCTCCCTCCCTCCCTCGCTCCCTCCCTTCCTTCCTATCTTCCTTCTTCTCTCTCTCTCTTTCAACACCTTCCTCACCGCACAGAATTACCATTTGTGTATGTGGAGCTGTGTGGTGAGAACATTTAAGATCCAGGCTCCTAGGAACTTTCAATATCGTGCAGTGTTATTAACTAGTCACCACGATGTACGTTAGATCCTCAGAACTTACTCATCTTATCATTGGGAGTTTGTACCCTCTGACCACATCCCCTTGTAACTGATAAACAGGGAAAATGAGACTCAGAGAGGTGAACTGATTTAGCCCTGTTCCCACAGCAAGGGCACCGCACACTGTGTGCTCCGGTCTGCAGCTCAGGAGCCCAGTTAAAAGCTAGGAACTTAATTAACATCATCTAACACTTCAAACCATATCTGCCTGTTCCTTCGTTCCCCACAGTTCTAGGCACTGTCTCTGTACTGAAGTTATCAGTTCAATAGGGCCTGATGCACTGGACATAGCTCTGGACTTCAGAAACCAGTTTAATGTTAGTGAATTCCTCTCCTACAACATGGAAAACCATCCTGTGCTGCAAATTATTCCTGAAAGCTAACAAAATTGAATTCCGAGCTTTTCTGTAAACATGCTCCTCAATACAGGCCCTACATAATGCCGTACTTCTCCAGCGTCACACGTCTAGAGTGGCCCGAACACGGCTAGAAAAACGGGAACTGAGCAGGATTTCCAGAACATACAAAAGGATCTGTGAGTTGATTCTTTCGGGATTTCTGTTTAAATAACTAACTCAAAAGTTCACAGAGCTTGGCCCTGGCTGGGTAGCTCAGCTGGTTGGAGTGCCACCTGGCACGCCAAGTCTGCAGGTTCAGTCTCTGGTCAGGGCGCATACCAGAAGCAACCAATGAATGCATCGGTGATGGAACGACACATCGACGTCTCCCTCTCTCCCTTTAAAAGTCAATAAGTAAATGTTTTTAAAAAGTTATAAAAGCTTGTGTCTGCTGCATTGAATATAACATGTGAAGTTTTCTCTTCACTTAACCAATTAGTGCTTCTGCTGGGAGATCTTACCCCCCCAGGCATGTCTGATGTCTGGGGAACCCCCCCAGGCATGGAACCTCATCAAATCCAGGATGATAAAGTCTTTTAAGATCCAAAACTAGCATTATGCATCCTGTGGAGACTTTTTATGTTTGTTTTTTATAGTATTTATTCATTCTCTTCTTATGATCACCTCTAATCCCAAGAACAACTACAGTGAGCACACCATTGTTTAAGAAAAATATACTAACTCAATAATCTCCTGGTGCCCCTAGAGAAGGAGGGGCTGGACACAGCTCCAGTAAACCCATTTTACAGACATGCAGACAGAAACAGATCAGTAAAATTTTGTGGTCAATATTAAGGGGCAATTCAGGAGGGAAGGCTGCTAAAATCTACTATTTTTATTTTTATTTTTGCCAAAGATGAAAAATAAAGTTTAAGATTATTCAGCGAGGATGAAGAATGTTAACCTGTTGCACAGATTTAAAAAGGTAGCTGACCAGGTTGACGTCTGATGCGCCCCATCTTAAGTGGAGGCCGGGCTTTGGCTTTAGGAGAAGAGAACCGAACCCCCGCCCTTCGCGCTCACGGAGCACATGCTGTGAGCTCCAGAGCAGGAGAGCCCCGGCCCGCTGCCGGGCTTGCTCTGCGGGTCAGCGGCCACAGGAGCCAGCCCCGCACGGTCCTTACCGTTTTCACAAGCTGGGCCTTGCCAGTGGTGGCCGCGGGGTCCAAAGGACACAGGACATTGATACGGGATTTCAGGGTGGGGCTGGTCAGGGACGTACTCCCTCCAGCTGCGGTCGTGGGGCGGCATCATGTAGTTATGAACCTGCTGGAGAGAGAGAAGCACCCACATCAGCCGAGAACAGCTCGTTGGCCTCGGGAACCAGGCAGATTCTTGTATATCCTCCCAAACTCCTTGGGCAATCTCTTATTTGACTGGCAGCCAAATCATTTTATCATCTGAAAGACTTTGGAGTGAATGGCTCATCACACTAGGTGAAAACTAGCCATAAAGAATAAAAAAAAAGCACAATGGAGACAGTGTTGTAAAGTAGTGATTTATGTAAAGTGCTATCATATGGTTAAACCTGGCACCAAAAGTACTGCGAGGAAATTTGCCTTCTTTTCCTCACCAAAGTAAAAACAACAGAGCTGCAGTTCACATGAGAAAAGCCTAAAGAGATCAGCTGCCATGTGGTTTCACATGATATAAAGCACCACTTCCAAATCTTCAACTTCCACAACAGGTCTGTTTCCCAGAAGATTTCGGAATCAGTAGCAGGAGAATATACCAACAGGCAGACACCCACCCTCCCTACTGAAAACCAGTGCTGATAGTTCACCAGGTGGAAAGTGACAATGGCCAGGGATTTGGTTTGGCTGTTTGACCAATTGCAAAAATGTATGCTGTTTTTGTATGTGTATTTCCCCAGCCTGCCCTCTGGAAGCCCTGCATCCTGCACCATACCTGAGCCGGGAGTGAGGTGTAAGGAGTCGTCATGGGGTAGGGGTGGCTCATGGTCATCTGTGGGTCCTCTAGGGTGAGCTGCTTTGCTCCTGTGTTTTTGCAAAGGGAAACAGCACAGTGTGAAAAAAGGAAGCAACATAACTAAACATCAAATCTTAGAAAAATATCTGAAGATTTAATTCCTAGAATGCATAACAGTGTTAACAAATGAGACATTTTTCAACCTGGCTGGTGTGGCTCACTGGTTGAGCATCGACCCTGCACCAAGAGGTCACCAGTTGGGTTCCCAGTCCGGGCACATGCCCAGGTTGTGGGCCTGATCCCCAGTGGGGGGCATGCAGGAGGCGGCCAATGGATGTTTCTATCTCTCTCTCCCTCACCCTTCCTTTCTCTCTAAAATCAATAAAGAAAACATATATTTTTTAAAAAAGACATTTTTCAACAATTCCCTTGGGCAACTGTTTGATCATCCCATTAAACTGATTTCTACAAGGCCCTGCTCTGTGTGGCCCTGCCTGGTGACAGAAAGGGTCCCACCAGCACAATGTGATGCAAACGAGGTCACCTGCATGGTTTATTACAATGCATACTCCTGGGCTCTACTGTGACACACTGTCAGAATGTTGGGAAGAGGGAATCTGAACTGTAGTAAGTAGTCCAGTTGACCACACTGCACCCTAAAAGTTGACATTTTTATTACTATAAATAGTAGCAATATATGAATGTATGTATGCTTCCCTCTACAAAAGGTTAATCATGAATGACTAATAACTATCTGAACAAGTTTACCATTTTCTTGTTTAGAAATTTGGCCCATTACTTAATAGAACTAACTGGAAAATACACATGCACACACGCAGGTGGAGACGTGGAGTCTGAGAAAGTACCCTACACTGATACCCAGGAATTTAAATTAGTGACTCAGAGAACTTGGACAATGAGCCTGCTGGGCTTGGCCACGGGGCAGATGGCAGATTATAAGGAACAGAAACGGAAAAGTGAGCTTCAGAATGAAATCAAGGGGTTACAAGTGTCAGGCTGCCAATATTCTGTGACCCAAACCCAGGAAGTCCCACCTTTTTTGGCTCCCTCGGGAACAATCCTGTAGACTTTGTAGGGGTCTGAAATGTCCAGCTGACTCCTCTCAACCAGTTCCTCAAAGTCATTGCTCTTGTTCAAAGCGCATCGTAAACGTGTCTTCCAGGTAGGAGGGTCTGGCTTGTCGATGCCTTCTCGGAATTTTCCTTTAAATAGTGCCCAAGCCTAGTGGGAAAGAAGAGGGAAAAAATTAAAATACAAGATCTTTTTTAAAAGAATCTGGGAATTGAATTTCTAAAGGGAAAAAAAAATGATGCTTTGGTGCTTCAAATTTACACCGATGCTCAAATGTAGGCCAGAAACACACCAGGTGTCCTCTAATACAGTACTGTCACCTTGGTCTCTGTCCATGCTGAGTTCAAGACACATGGTCTGCACATTCTCTAAGTATTTGTAAAAGGTGGGTAGGATGGGGAGGACCCTTGGAAAAGTTTCTGAACTGGGTTTGACTGGAACTAGGGACAGAGCTGTAGGGTGAGCTGCTCCCATACAGCATGTCTGATGTCAGACAGTCTGAGGTATTCTGAGAACAAATTCCCTGAGGAAGTCCCCTCGGCCTGTTCTGCCCACGGGTGGTGGGCTGGGCCCCAGGGCACAGCTCACCGAGTAAACTGCTCTGGGGGAAACAATCGTGTGGGGGACACACTTGCAGAGCAAGAGAGGAAGATCCAGAGAGGGATCTGGGGAGAAAACAGATCCTGGAGGGAGAGCAACAGAGGAGGAGGAAGGAGAAACCCAGAAGGGTGGGGAGAGGAGGGACCGAGAGGAGAAAGAAGCCTAGAGAGCATTTTCCAGAGAGAGAGACTTGGAAAGGGGGAGTCTGACAAACGGGCAGAGAGCGAGAGGGAGACACAGGGATGGAGGGTCCAAAAGGAGCTGGACCGAGAGAGCGCTGGCGCCCGAGAGAGAGAGAGAGAGAGAGAGAGAGAGAGAGAGAGAGAGAGAGTCAAAGAACAAAAATTCGGGAGAGACAAATAGCGAAAACATAGTGAAACATGCTGAGAGAGAAACAAAAACAGACGGACTGCCGCGCACCCACGGGCGCCCCCAGAGACAGACAGACAAGTTGGTTAGAGGAGGCAGGAAAGGTCCAGGAGGACAGAAAGAAGCTCCGGATGGAAACAGAGAAACGCACAAAAATGCAACCCAGTGTCCCGGCAGAGCGAGCCTTCGGACTCCGGGGTGCTGCCCCTTGCACGCGTTCAGCACTGGGACCCGGTCCTCCCGTGTGTGAAATCACTAGAGAAGTTGAAACTTCTCTCCTCCCAGGGCCTCGGCTCTTCCACACCTGCTACTCCCGGGCCGCTCGCCCTGCCGGGACCAGCCCGTCCCGTGCGGTTACCCTCCCCTCTGAGCCCCGCCGGGCGCACCCGGCACGGATGGGGCTCGCCGAGGAGTCGGTGTTCGCGACCCACGGGACTCTCTGGGGCCTCCCCCCACGCCGACCGCGGCTCCCCACGTGTACAACCTTGAAGAGGGCGGCGTCCTCCTCGCGGTTGTAGTCCTGCTTGCCCGCGTGCTTCCAGGGGATGCGGAAGATGCTCTTCTCCTCGTTCTCCCACACCAGCCCTGGGTACTTGCCGCTGTCGATCTGGTCGATCAGCCACTGGCGGAGCTTCCCGTTGCCGCAGCTCACAGAGCTCATGCCGAACTCCCCTCCTCGGCTGCCACCGCCCTCCAGGTTCATGCCCAGCACGCTGCCTGCCGTCCCCTCGCGCCCGGGGTCTGCCTCCTGCGCTCGCTCTGCGCTGCAGGGGAGAAGAGGGCGGCCCTTAAACCCCGGCGCCGCGCTCAGGGTGCTCTACCCCAAAGCGCCCTGGCGGCGACCGCGAGGCCCCGGGGGTCCGAGCAGTACGGCGCGCGCTCCGGAGTCGGTGTCATCCAAGGTCCCTGAGAGAAGGCACCTTCTCAGCTGGCCCGGGCTGGTCCCCTTGGCAAGCACAATCCTGCCTCCTCCCGAGCGCGCCCTCCGGGAAGTCCATCCGCCCCACCTTCTGGACTCCCGTTCTTGTTATGCAGCCCACAGCCCAGACACACAGCTCTCGCCTTTACGTACACTCCCAAATCCAGCCGCCACCCTTCTTGGCACTCTGTCTGCACACTCACTCGTAGCTCACGCTCCTCTTTGCCCACCCTGAAGCTATTGTCAGTTCACTTCCTCCTCACTGTCAGTTTCCACTCTTGCCCACTCCGCATTTCACACTCCCTTGGTGGCTCCCGCGTGCCAATCTCGCACGCGGGCTAGTCTGCGGTCGGGTCGTTCCAGGTGCTCTGCACCCAGCAACTCGTCTCCCGGCCTTCTCTCGCACACGCACTCTTTGCCCCAAGAGTAACCCGCAGCCCTCGCCAGAGAGCGAAGTTTAAGTGGGTCCTGGGGGCAACAAACGGCAGCGACCTGGCCCTTGGCGAGGAGCGCAGCCAGTAGCATGAGATACCGGCGGCGCGAGGAGCGTCAGCCTGGCCCCGTAGGCCGGCAAAGGAGAGCGGAGGTGGGGAGGGGACACAGGAGGCGAGGGACCGGAGGGCTCGGGTTAAGGCAGCAGAGCGCAGGCCTTGAGTGGCCCAAATTTGGAGCTCCTCCTCCTTCAGCACCAGCTAGGGAAACACGCGCTGGAGGCCTGGGTGGTTTGTGCGCCTTTCTAAGGAGCAGGAGAAGGAGCCTCAGAAGTAAGGGGCAGTCCGCCAGCGGGAAAGCCTGCCACCCTGAGTAGGTGCCTTTGACGGTCCCATCTCGGCCACTCCTGAGGCTCTGACAGTCTCATTCTCCCATCTGGTCCAGCGCGTGCCAGCGACCCGCCCCGGCCCGCCCTGGGCCGGTCCACAGAGTGGTGGGGACACGGGAGCGGGGAGAGCCAGCGGAGATGCCCAGCCAGTGTCCCGGGGCCCCTCCACAGAGCCCGCACAAAGACCTTGGTCCCTGAGCACACGGGGCGGGAGTCGGGACTCCCTCGAGGGGAGCGTGCTATCACCAGGCTCTGAAGCTGGGGTCCCTTACGCTGCCCCCGAGGTTGTCCCTGGAATCTCTGGCCTTTCTCTCCAGGTTCTCTGTCGTGCCAGCTTCACATGTATGTTCCTGCCCGGCCCCAGGTCTTACCTTGCCTCGGACTCGGAGCCGAGGGCAGCAGTGGGTTCAAGTTCAAGTGGTGAAACTAAGACTCCGAGGTGCGAAAGAGGAACTTTATGAGCTTAAAAGCCGCGCTGGGGGCGGAGCCTGGGCGGGGCGGGGCCGATTGCGCCTGCGAAGGGCGGGGAGGGGGCGCGGCCAGCGGAGAGGAGGGCCGGGCGGGCGAGTCCCCGGCGGGGGATCGGAGGAGCCCGCGCGCGTGGGGCGGCCGGGCGGGGGTGTATGTGTGGGAGGCCGGCTGCAGCACCTTCGGTCACCCCCTCGCGCCGGAGCAGGCGAAACTCGAGTCGGGAGTGCGCGCCTCGACGACCCTCACTGGCGGTGGTTTCCTGCGAAGGGCAAGGCGCGAAATGGGGACCTCGCCTCTGCTCCAAGACCTGCGGGAGGCAGGTCGATAACTAATAACAGCCAAACGACCGCTGTGCGGTTAAGGCGGGAAGTGGGGGGCGTGTAGGAGCGGGAATCTGGTGCGAAGGGGACATCTGTTGAAGAGCACAAAACCAAAGACTGAGGAATTGTCCTTGCTGAAGAACCGGGGGGCATCCTTGGCCCTGCTGCTGCCCTTGAGAACTCTGCCCCTCTGCGGTGTTTAGAGAAAGGCGTACTCATTAAAAACACAAAAAGGAAATGGCCCAGATCCCCTGAACTATAAACTGTAGTTCAAATACTGTCTGCATGTTTGAATGCTCATACTTCTGAGTCTGTTCAGCTGTCGAATTGAGGTGACTCAGGCAGACAATACATAGCCCCCAAAGTTTTAATTATGGCTCCATGAAAGAGTCGAGGGAGGGATCCTGAAGTATCCAAGTGCTTATTTGCTTCTCAGTTCACTTTAAAATGACATAGTTTTAACCTCAACCTGGTAGGAAGCAACTTACTAGTGGAGTATCAATGTCCAGAAGAGGGATAATTTTTAAGTGGACCAGAACTTTTACTTGATTTTCCAATATGTCCTTAATATCAAAATTAGTGCCCTGAACACCGGCCCACTAAACTTTCACCGCAGCATTTAGGGTACTCCAAGCATGTTCATCTACTTGGCAATTTCAAGTAAACCCTCATATTACCAGTTTCTATACGAGTTTAGACCACCATCACTCCAGGTCAACTCACAGCTTTTGAAAAACTTTTGATTTCACTTATTTCTCAGTTTTTCTTTTCATCTCATATGATGAACCAATGTCTCCCACCTAAAGAAGACAGTAAGTTTAGTCTGGAACAAAATAGGCAGTGAAACGAATGGACTTTCTCAGAAATTAACAGGATGACATATTTTTATTCACCCAAGTAAATTTTCCATGATCAGAGTCTATGTAATAAACAACAGAGTTTTGTTCAAAGAAAATTCTGGTCATAACCTGTTCTTCCTTTCTTGTCCTGTCACAGATTCATTCATTCAACAGATACGTTTTGAGCACCTGCTACTTGTTAGGAACTGTTCTAGGAACTTGGGACATTTCAGGAAACAAAGCGAAGACCGCTGCTCTCATGTTGGGTTACATTTTAGTCAGCGAACTATTTTTTCCAGATTGCTCACAAACAACAGGCTGAAGGAGATTGCTAAGAACAAAGATGGCAAACTTTTACCCTTTCCTACATATGCCCTCTGCCCAGCTTTAGTTAGTTTAAACACTTTTCTCTCATCTACTTTTAGAAGTTCAAAACAATAGTCGTATGAAGCTGTCTGAGACTTTACCAGTCTACCTCGTGTGATTGCTAATCTTCAACGCCATCTTCTGGCTCACTCATTGGTCGTATTGATCTACTGTAAGGGAGGGAGGGAGGGAAAGAGAGAGAGAAACATCAGTGTGAGAGAGACACACATCCACTAGTTGCCTCCTGCAGGACCCCGACCAGGGCTGGGGACCAAACCACAACCAAGGTACCCTCCCTTGACCAGAATTGAACCTGCAACTCTTTGGTCTGTGGGCTGATACTCTAACTGCTGAGCAAAACAGACCAGGGCTATAAGTGATTTATTTTTTTATTTTTTATGATAAGGTGAGTACAAAACATAATATATTCTAATCACTGAAACTCCTGATGTCCTCATTACCTCTGGAGACGGGGAGGGGGTGAACAGGTACCAACCCCAGTTGCTCACCAAAGACTTTTATATTTAGTCATAGTTAAAACAAAAATGACAAGTTTTTAAAGTTGATTCTGCCCCCACACACTTGAGAAAATCAAAGTTTTCTTCAGCAAAGGATTAAACATTTATCTTTAAATGTCACAACTTGTTAAAAATGAAAACAAATAGAAAGTTGGTTAATTGAATGTCTATCCAAAGCAAAGACTGCTCAGATTCTATGAGGAGGTTACTGCTCTCGGTGAGCTGCCCAGATGTTGAAGTGCTGTTGCAGATGGGGCCCAGTCTGAATGGAGCATTTCACTTTCAAATCACATTTATCATAGAGACTGTAAGCGGAATTTACTTAATTCATATATTAAACTTAAACTTTTAAAATTATACATTCACATACAAGAAAACTATTTTAGAAAAACCCATACTAGACACAAAGAATAGCTTATAAAACCTTGTTTGGGATAAAACTATTTTATCACTAAGAAAACTATTTTAGAAAAACCCATACTAGACACAAAGAATAACTTATAAAACCTTGTTTGGGATGAAACTATTTTATCACTAATTCATTCTTTAAAAGGGGAGGGGCTACAATTTGTTAAAAATCAATGCAACTATATTCTTGAAAAAGTTTAAAGGGGCCCTGGCCGGTTTGGCTCAGCGGTTGGAGCGTCGGCCTGCGGTACAGAGAGACCCGGGTTCGGTTCCCGCTAGGGGCACGTACCTCAGTTGCAGTTTGTCTCCGGCCCTGGTTGGTCATGCGGGTGGCAACCACTCGATGTGTCCCTTCACATCGATGTTTCCCTCTCTCTTCCTCCTGCTCTGTCTGAACAAAAAATGCAAAAAAAATGTCCTCGGGTGAGGATTAAAAAAAAAAAAAAAAAAAAAAAGTTTAAAGGGGAATCCTTTTTTAATTACTTGTACAAAAATTAGGAAAATACTAAAAATGTTTTGTTGTTATGATGTAGTTCATATAATACAAATATCTCCTCTAATAATGGTCTTTAGAATATATGTAATCAGTGGTTTTTTAAAAATATTTTTTTTCTTCATTGATTTTAGAGAGAGAGGAAGGGAGGAGAAAGAGAGAGATAGAAACATCAATCGGCCGCCTTCTGCATGCCTCCCACTGGGGATTGGGCCCACAACTTGGGCATGTGCCCTGACTAGGAATTAAACCAGAGACCTGCAGGTTGCACAGGTTGATGCTCAACCACTGAGCCACCACTGGCTGGGCTATGTATGCAATGTTAATTCTTACCATTGACCCTGACATTTCTATGGTAGTAGTATTATACTATTCTTGTATTATTATATTATTATATAAATAGTAGCATGTACTATGTAATAAACAATATATTACTATACTATGTTTTATAGTAGCATGATAATGTAGTACTTGTATAGTAAGTACTAGTATACTATAGCAATATATACTTTATGGTATTATATCATTATATAATATAGTATTGTATTATAGTATTATTAGTATATTATTGATATAGTATTATTGATAATATTGTTATGTTATAGATAA